TAAATTACTTTGTGGTCCACAGAGACACCCTGTCTCCATTTGTGTGGTCTCACTGGGCTTGGTCGTAGACCTGTAAAACCACATCCTAGATTCCTAGTATTTACTGTCCTTGGTTTAATTCACTTACAGTTACACACACTCCATTATGTTCCATTCCTGTATTTAATGAGCCCCTCTCCCCCTAAGTCCTCGCTTTCCAACTTCCAACACCGCTACTATAGGAGACACATCATTCTATACCTCCATATAACCAAGACTCTAGGACTGGTACACAACCTCCTATGACCCAAATATCATCGTCATCCTGGCTAGAACTTTCTTCATTTCGTCCATCTCTTCATTGTAAGTCAGGTATAAACTGCCTGGTACCCCCTGCAAGTTTTCGTCGGTTGCCTGTCCGATGTCCTCTTCTAGCATCCGTATCTCCACTTTTCCTGCGTCCTTCCAGCCACCTTCTTCAAACTTTTCCAGCTTATAGCCACCTTCGCCCCATCACTCTTCCTGCGTCTGGCTGAAGTGTATCCTGCGTCCTCTGAACTGTGAGTGTTCCTGCTTCACACACCAGTGCACTAGTTCACACAGTCGGATCATGTCTATGGTCTCTGGCCACGTGTCGTAACCATGGGCACGGGATCGAGTGAGTGTCCTGTGTGTATTTTACCCCAAACTGAACTTGAGTAGGGCCAGTCACCTTTCACTATGTTTTATGCGAACTGTTCTTTGACCACTGGTACGTATACATGTTTCATTCATTCCACCTGTCCATCCTACCCCACAACACACAGCGACCGTGACCCCCCCCCCCCCCCTCCGACTGCACTCTCTGGTTCCCTGCCGCTTCCAACCTCAACAGTACCCCCTGCCCAACCACCCCTTCTTCCTGATCCACCCGACTTACCCCTCCCACTGATTCCTCTCCGTCCTTCCCCCAATACTCCATCCCACCGCTGCCACCAATTGTAACACAAGTATTTGTTTCATAGGAGTTTGTTGTGTACCAGTCCTAGAGTCTTTGTTACAGGAGAGATGTACAATGTACATGTATAAAAATGATATGTCTCCTAGTAGCGCGTACACTGTAGCCGGAGCGGACAAAATCATTAAGTTGAAGACGAAGAAGAAACTTTCACTGAAGGAATAAAACTCGTGACAAGGATTATAGGGTCAGGTGTGTTTATTGAGAGCACCGACTAAAATCGCTTGACAGAGAGAGAGAGACAGTGAAAGTGGAAAAGATGAAAAGGGAAAGTGAGGATTGAGGGGGAGAGGGGCTGATTGAATACAGGAATGGAACATAATGGATTGTGTGTAACTGTAAGTGAATTAAACCAAGGACGGTAAATACTAAGAATTTAGGATGTGGTTTTACAGGTCTACGACCGAGCCCAGTGTGACCACACAAATGGAGACAGGGTGTCTCTGTGGACCACAAAGCAATTTGAAATAATCTTAAAGATGTCAACGGGTAATAAGTGGGGATAATGTAATTAAAGTTAATTGCGATTCTAAATCTGGGCTTACAATATCTCCGGTTATCCAACAACAATATCAAACTAGAGGTTGTAGGAACAACCACACGATGTTGGGCCATGGATTACCGCAAACTTTGCCACACACATCAACTCAAAATATGCATGTTTAAATCCATGTTTGACTTTTTCAACATGCCGCCAGAGGGCCCTTTAACATTTGATGACGTCACCTGTAAATTATTTTTTTCAGTACTGCCTAGGCAGACACTCACATAGTTGAAAGCAAGTTCGCATCTTCTGCCAATTTCAATTAATAAGGCATTTCCGGTTTTGACCGGAAGGAAGGGTCACGTGATTTTGCACTTAATACCAAAACTGAAGACCCTGCAGTATTGTATCGATTGCCGTAAAAAACAAAATCAAATCTGTAGTAGTTGATTTTATATTGATTTTCAAAGATTAAATCTAGAAAACTTTGATTGCTTGAAATATGATACTTGATGACGTCATTGTGACGTCATTACCAGAAAGATCAAGAGCTATTTTAATTGTGCCATATGTAGCCAAATCTTGATTATATCTATCACCGTTGATTTTTTAGCAATTTTTGAAGGTTTAAAGGTCTTTTTATTGTAACTTCGGATCCGATGGCGTAATCAATTTTTTTTCGCGCACACGTCTTGTCTGCATTAAGGTCATCATCAGTCCGAGCTCCAGACCCCCCAAAATGAGTTAACCCTACGCAATTTCCTCCCCACAATATTTTTACATTTTTTAATGCAGTAAGACCTGCTGATTCAGAATCTGGACGGTGGATTAAAATTTGACCCGGCGAAAACGCATTTTTAGGTCAAAATCCAATATGGCCGCCATTTCCTCCAAAAACATCAAAAGTGTGATTTTTAAAATAAATTCATCAACAATCGACCAATTGAACCCAAATTTGGCTCAGAATGTGACTCGCGGTAGATAATCATGTGTACAAAATTTTACATCAGGGTTATCTTAGAATTTTAGCAAAATCCAATATGGCGGCCATTTTGGCCTCCCCCCCCCCTTAAAAAAGCGAGCAAAAAGAACACTTGCGGTTATAGTCCAAGACCCAGGGGTCCTTTACGTTTTCGGGAATGACCAAGTGTTTGGTGGGTATGTTGGGAAACACCTTGGATACACCATGGGGAATTCGAATTGGCTTGTCTTATGGTCACCTGGTGGTGGACCTGGTTACCAGGAGCAGATATGTGACGTCACACAAGGAGATACAAAATATGGCCAATGTGCATTACTGAGAAGATTACGTGCCATGTTTGAGATTTAATTCCATTTCAAAGGAGTTCATGTCAATATGAGCATTTAGAATAGATGTCCCAGTAATTTGAATAGGATAGGTCTATTTGACCCCAAAGACCATTTGATCATCATGCTACATGTAGTTTAGGTTTGTGTTGCCTAGCAACCACATCCTCCTTAGCAACGTCCATTTGGTGCCTGTTTAACTTACTAAAAACGAATCTACAATGGGAGTGACAAAGTATTTGGGGTTATTTCTAAAAAAAGTTTCACCTTGGGGTATTCGAATTGGCTAGTCTTACAGTAGTCTGGTGGTGGACCTGGATACCAGGGGCAGATATGCGACCCACGCAAGAATTAGATGAAAATTACGGCTGATGCACAACATTAAGAACGCGAGCTATGTTAAAGATTACTTACTTTTAAATGAATTCAGATCAACGGATTAACATTAAGAAGCAATGTGTAATTTGGATAATTTGGATAGAATATAAGACCCCAAGGATCATTTAATCATATTAGTTTAAATGTTTGTTGCCTAGCAATCGCATCCTCCTTAGCAACAAACCTTTGGAGCCTGATTAACTTACTGAAAATGAATCTACAACGGAAATGACCAAGTAATTGTTGGTATTTCTTGTCCCAAAAGGTAACCTATTGAAATGGGTATGTCTTACGGTTTACCCGGTGGTGGACCTTGATGCCAGAAGTAATTACGTGACGTCACACAAGCAAATGAAAAATATGGCTTAGGCCAAAAAAAAAAAGTCTCCGGTTTCTGGTATGCGCGCGCGTCGCCGTAGCCATGCGCGTCGGCAAAATGAAAAAGTTTTTTTTTCAATGAAAGATGATGTCTCGAAACCGCCAAACTCACTGGTTTGACTGAAATCCTGCTGCTGTACAATTTTAACGTGTTTTTAGATGGGGTTATGATCAAGAATAAGCTTTATGTGGCCTCTCTGGACTCCCATATATTTGCACTTAGTTTAGTCGGGCACCATTTGCAGTCATCAGCCGATATTTGAAGCAAAAAAGTCAGGTAAAAAAAAAAAAAGCCGCGTCGCCGCACCACTTTTTGGGCAAGCCCCATACCAGAAACCGGAGACTTTTTTTTTTGGCCTTATGCGCAGCATTGAGAAAACTGCCCATGTTCAAGAATTATTTCCTTATAGTCCACATAAATAAAAGAACCCCCAAAGAGGAGATCTCTGGGTAATTTCAATAAGGTAGCCTATTTCCAGGACTATGTGATCATAATAATAATGATGTCCGTTGCCTAACAACAAGCTTCATTCCAAACAACAACCTGATTAACTTACTAACAATTAATCTACAACAGAAATCACTGAGTGTAAGTGGATTTTTGGAAAGTTTACACCTTAGGGTATTCGAATTGGCTTTTCGTATGGTTAACTGGATATTTTTCCTTGGCAAATTTGGGGTTTTTTTTTCAGACTTTTAATATTTAAATATTACATTTATCCTTATGAAAATATTCATAAACGTAATGTAACGTTCATGATTATTCGTTTTTTAAATGTGCCAAAAGTGTGACCACAATTGCGGTCAAATTGTATGTTGCACCTGGGGTCATCATACAAATTGAGACCGCAAACGTCACAATTGGAGTCGGAGGCTGGATGTTGGAACTGTTGATTGAGCAACTCCAGACGGAGTAGGTCCAAATGCAATAGCAGAAACGAGCGAGATACCTTCCATCGACAACTTCCCTTCGACAAATAACTCTTTCAATCCGGTTCCACACATGAGCTTTCCAACAACTCAAGCAATTCATGAGATGGAAGCCACCAAGCTGCAATACAGGGTGGGTCTAAAAGAATTGACAGAATTCAAAAAAATATTTTAAAAATATTTTGCCCCATTTTAATTTAAAAAAAATAGAGATAAAGTACATCTTATCAACTTTTAACTGTGAAAAACTTCACGTAATTGCATACTCTATTACCACGTTGTACCTATTTCAATAAAAAGATCACAAAAGTAGGCTGTCCCCCAAATGATCATTTACCGTTCTAGGAACTGATGAATACCCGTTGAGTATTTGAAACATGGACATTTCCCTTTCACACCTCCATGCATGAACGAGGACTTGTAAAGGAAAACATACACAATTCGACTTCAATATTTCGGGGGGAAAAGTTTCCTTGTTCCTCATATTCGAAACTCACATGACGGTAAAAATAAGGTTTGCCTATATGAATGCTTGGTTTTTAATCTTTAATTCTCAATAAGCTCAACAGCTTCCAATGGCATTCCTGGGCGTTAAATTTAACAATTACTGAAAAGTAAACTGGCGAAAACGATTTACGTTAGAATCTGCTGGTAGTCGATTATCATAATGGTTCGTGTGCCCATGATGTCAAAATATTATCAGTTTTGCATTCGCTTCTCGAATGTACGCAGTTGAAGCGACAATATTCTAGTCATAATCCGAAAAATTATTAACCGACATAATTAGTTTCCAAATACCTGCACAACAATTAAACAATCAAACATTTAAACAATTATAATGAGACCAAAACAAAGTATGTGAAGTTATTACATTTTGCATGCTGTCATTCTAAAAAAAAATAATGGGATAAGGATATAAAAGAAAGCATTCAAATAAAAAAAAATCGTTTTGTAATGCCAAGGTGGTCCCACACCAAAGTTTGGATTTTCGTTCATTTCCGCTACATAATTAAAGAGCTACTGATCTCACATGTCAAAAACTTCTCGTAGGTAATGAAATATTCGCGTTTGGTTGGGTCTACGGTGCTCGCTATTTAGTCGTGAAAATTGGAAAACATTAACAGTTATAGAAAAGGCAAGGAAATCCACATCATGTAAAGGTTGTTTTGAATAGGCTGCTTTGGATGAAACGACGGAATAACGATAATTAATTACAGTTTCTTTTGAAAAGTTAACAAATAGTAAGTCCAACAATATCAATATACCAAACAACTGTTTCCCACAAAATTTTGTTAAATGTCATTGCCATATTTTAGTCCTGGAAAATTGTCGAAAACTCATAGAACTTGGTGTTCAGATGTTTGTACAAACCTCCTTGTAGAAGAAATTGCAACTGCAGCTTAATTAATGATGACTCCATAAGATGCAAAAATGCCAGTGTGTATTACACTTGAGAGTTTTTCTAATGTTTCTGGTTTTCCAGATTTTTGATAGCTGTTCCTTAGGATTCCTGATTCCTATTTATGCCTAAGTGTTTTTGCAGTATCACACAATGATTTCAAACGTAAACTTGAACTTCTTACAATTTGCGAGACCTGCGAGGAAAAAGTCGATATAACTATTTTATTCAAGTTGGTTCAACCATAATATAAGCAAGGCCCAACAGCCAACAACCGCCAATGGATATTGTTATTTATGCACTCTTCGTTATTCCATCCCAACATAATTCAAAGATCACAATATTTGAAACAATGCATCGATCCTTCGTTGATTTACCCGATCATAGATCGGGTAAATCATAAATAAATCGTCTCGGAGGCCGAGTTAAACTCTCTCTTATATATAAAGATGGTGTACGGGGAGAATTATGTAAGACTGGGGTGAACAAAGTGAACAAAGATCCTTCTGCTGCTAAAAACTCTTCGGCTTTTAAATTTAAGTCACGACTTTCCCAAAATGTTGATGCTTTATATCTATACAGAGTGACACCGCATAATAAAGAAAGTCTGTATAAAGCGCGCACCTGATAAGAAAAATAGAAAAAAGAAAAGAAATAAGGTTACCATTCACGTAGATCACCATTCACGTAGATCACCATGATGTTAAAACTTGGCCAGGGGTCCCAACCCATTGTGATACAGAATGATGTTACAAAGCAAACCCACTCCAGTTAGTAGAAATAAGATTACTGGATACATCACTTGGGCAAAAAATAATGGACGGAATAAGTAAAAAAAAACCGAAAAAAAACCCCACTATATGCAGAGATTAAAAAAAATTAAGATAACTGTACATTTTGTATAAATGTCAATCACCAAGGAAGAAAAACATGGCCAGGGTTTCCCTTATTGGTGGGTAATCCATTGTGATAAAAGGATGTTAAAAAAACCTTATTGGCAGTGCTAAAATTATATTGAAACTATTACTGAATACATCACCGTGAAAAAAAAATGGCCAGGGTTTTCCTATGGGTGGCTAACCCATATATGTACCAAAAGGAAAAAAAAGACACGCATAGGTTACAAAAGTAGGAATGAGATCATTGTAGAAATCTCCATAAAAAATAGGCCAGGGGTTCTCCTGTCATGCCTATCCTTAACCCATTGATATACACAAAAGCAAAACTACTGCAGGCAAGATGAACAAATAGAAATGATTAAACATTAAATAAGGTTCCCCCTTTGGTGGTGGAGCCAATGTTCAGAATTTAAGACGAGCATTAATAGCGTTCTAACTAAGTAAAAACCTAAATAACAAACAAGAAAATTAAACAGCCGCTGCAGGAGTCTATCTAGTCCCACCCTGTCTTAGTGAGAATTATCATTGATATACAACTCTATTTTAGCACTGAACCAGATTTTCATTCTGAAATATAAATCAGCTTTATTTGCAAAAAGAATGTGCAAAAATACTAACACGATTTATAACCATATCGACCCCCACACGAAAACATTGGATTGTTTGAGCAATGAAAGTAAATAAATAGAATGGCAACAAAAATACATCTCATTTCTCATATTATTTGATAAAAATTACTTTAAGTAAGATTTGAGGCTTTGCATGGTGAAGATACTAAATAATGAAAGGTTTGCGGAAACACCATGTGCGAATAATTTCTCAACTAAGAGAATGGTTCTGAAAGAACCAGAGGTATAAACTCGACGTTCCGGTCAGTATGCTCTGACCGTCTTCAGGAGAGTGCCTAAACTCTAAGAAAGTGAATATTTAAGTAGCAAAAGGTGAAATCAATGGAGTGTGAAGTTGCATCCTGTGAGGATGCCAAGTAGACAGGATCCTAGAGCAAGCTTAGTGCTCACTGAAGTGGAACAGTAGGGTGGCAGTGTCAGTAGAGGGAGGACCTAGGGTATAGGAGACCCATCAGTCTAAGGTAGTAGCTGAGGACCTAGGGTATAGGAGACCCATCAGTCTGGTGAAGTGGGAGCCAGATGTCGTTGAGGTGAAACCCGATGTCTTGCGGAACTGTGTTGTGCTTGCGGATCTCGATGGCTTCCCGTATGCGTCTTGGATGCCAGAACTGGATCGGTGCGATGAGTTCGGCCGCATCCCAATCAACTTTGTGGTCGTTGATGTGGGAATGTTTGACAATGGCCGATTTGTCAAAATCCCCTCGCCGTCCATGTGCTCTGTGTTCCTTGAGCCTAGTGGGAAGGTTCCGACCGGTTTCGCCGATGTAGACTTTGCCGCATTCGCATGGATTGCGGTAGACTCCCGGCTTGGAAGAGGAGTCCTGCTTGTCCTTGTGAGTATGGAGGCTGCCTTGGAGCTTGTTGCCAGATGAGTGGTACACCTTGACGCCGGCTTGTCGGAGGATGCGTTGCAGATGATGAGAAGCTGGACCTATGTAAGGAAGAGTGACTGAGGGAGATACAGTGGGAGGACCTTGGGTAAAGGGGACCCGTTGGTCAGGTTTGCTGATCTTGATGCGGTTGGGTTTGTAGCCGTTCCATTGTAGTGACGTCTGGATGTGCTTGAGTTCACGCTTGAGGTTGTCTTGGTCGCAGACCTCGAAGGCTCTCTGTACTAGGGTGCGGTTGACCGATGACTTGATGCTGGGGTGATGGAACGACCGCTGGTGGAGATAGCGGTCGGTATGGGTGGGTTTCCTGTAGACGCTGTGTCCCAGGGTGCCATCCGGATTCCTGGAGATCTTGACGTCCAGGAAAGGAATGGTGACGTGCTGTTCTTGTTCCATGGTGAAGCTGATGCTGGTGTGTTGCTTGTTGAGGTACTGGAGGAAGTCTTGGAGTGTGTCCGGGCCATGGGGCCACACTACGAAGGTGTCATCAACGTAGCGTAGCCACAGGCTCGGCCGAAGATCCGCTGTGAGTAGGGAGGAAGACTCGAACTCCTCCATGAAGATGTCGGCTAGGACCGGGGATAAAGGAGATCCCATGGAGGTCCCAGCCGTTTGCTCGTAGAACTTGCCTTGCCACTGAAAACAACTGGAAGAAATACATGTTAGTAACAGATCATGAATTTGGTCGGGGGACAGGTCTGTGCGTTCAGCAAGAGTGGTATCATGTTCAAGTCTTTCCTTAGCTAGTTTGCAGGCCTCGCCTGTGGGAACATTGGTGAAGAGTGAGACGACGTCAAAACTGACAAGCAAGTCAGTGGGTTTGACAGTGAGGTTTCTGGTGATGCTGACAAACTGGGGAGAGTTGGACACATGGTGTGGTGTCTGACCCACCAAGGGTCTGAGGATTTTGGCTAAGTGTTGGGCTGAGTGGTAAGTGGGGGAACCTCGAGAGGCAACTATGGGGCGCAGAGGGATCTCAGGTTTGTGAATCTTTGGTTGACCAAAGAACCTGGGACAGATCGAACTGGAGGGTCTGAGTCGTCTGTAGAGGGGGGTGGATACTGCATCTGCTCGATGCAAGAGGAGAAGTTGGCTGGCAACTCGCTTCTCGATGGCGGTGATGGGGTTCTTGGGGAGTGGGCGGTATGAACCAGAAGAAAGTATGTCTTTTACCTTGTTGCTGTAGTCCTCCCTGTCCATGACGACGGTGGCGTTGCCCTTGTCCGCTGCGAGGATGTGGATGGAGTTGTCTCGGCGAAGGTCACTGACAGCGAACCGCTCTGTTTTGGTCAGATTAGGTTTAGCTGGGCGAGCCTTGCGGAGGACTTCATTCATCTTGATACGGACGTCGTTGGCTGCTGTCTTGGTGAGGTGTCTGAGGGCTGGCTCCGTCGACTGGATGATGCTCTCGATGGGTACGGACTTTGGAGGAACAGCAAAGTTCATGCCAAGGGACAGAACTTTCGTTTCTGTACTGTTCAGCTGGCGGTTGCTGAGGTTGACTACAGTGTGCTTGGTGAAGGTGTCTTGACTACGGAGATGAGGTGGATGGCGCCAGGATATAGGAGATCCAGATGGCAGGTTACGCGGGCGAGAAGACTGACGCCAGGATATAGGAGATCCAGTTGGCGGGCTATGTAGGCGAGATGGATGACGCCAGGATATAGGAGATCCAGTTGGCGGACTACGGTTACGGTGGAAAGGAGTCGGAGTATTCCGTTCCTTGCGTTCCAGGCGGTAGAATTTCCTAAGTTGTTTCTGACGAGTGGTGGAGAACACAAACTGGCTAGAAGAAGTAGTGAGAGAACAAATCCTGTCGAAGTGGACTGGTTCCAAGGTGGAGCGGAGATCCTCTTCCGTGTCGGTGATCTGCTGGTCGAGGATGGCGAGTTGTAGTCTGGTGAAGGAGATGCGCTCTCGGATGAGTGCGGAACTGGCTCTCCGGAGGATGTCTTCCGACCGGTTATTGCGTATGGGATCGCGGATACGCAGACCGGCAGGAGTTATCTTAGAGTCGCGGCATCGCTTGAGGAAGGTTAAGTTGTTGATGAGTTTAGAACGCCGAATTGACGTCCGTTCATACAACCTAACCTGGTTGGTTACCAGCTCCCCGTAGAGCGAAGATAAGAGCGAAGATAAAATTACTTTGTATGAAAATATTTCAAGGCTGGCTGGCAACTACATTTCCTTTTTTTCAATTTCCCCCATTTCCCCCATTTTTTGGAAAATAACACTCACCCAAATGGTTGTCACTCCAGTGTTTATATGTAGGCCCTAACAACTCAACTCAATCTAGGCCTACTACTAAACGAACGTATAGCATTGATAAAAATAATGAAAACTAGGCTTATTAGAGTTCAATGAAGATTACTTGAGATTGCAAAAGTAATCTGCTCGGTAGGGGAAGAGACACGTACGGCGCGCACGCCGCGCTGACTATAGCAACGAGGTTGGCCGCATGCATTCACAGAGTCTGGTACCCAAAATAACTTTGTGAGAGGGGTACCGGACCATTTTATTCCTTATCGTTTACGTTGGATTTTCACTACGATTTTGTCCTGAAAAAAAAAAACACTTTCGCCGGGTTAATTTTTCTTCCACCGTCCCGATTCTTAATAAGACACAAATCGTATACAAACAAGAAATTAAGGGGAGGAGATGGTGTAGGGTCAAACTTTTTTAAAGCGATTTGGCATTCTGGAGCCTGGACTACATGTACATTCATTTCGAAGCGAATACCGCAAACTTCGCCACAGACATCAAGTGAAAATGCGTTTTGACGTTTTTTAACCTGCCGCTAGAGGGCGCTCCAACTCTTCATGTCTGACAGCAAGTTCATATCTCTTCCCACTTTTAAATTATTAAGCACTTCCGGTTTCGACCGGAAGGAAGGGTCACGTGATTTTACGCGCACAAGATAATATGAAGAGCATTTATTATAATGTCAATTCCCGCAAAATTCAAGTTCCGGTCTCTAAAGGTTGATTTTATATTGAATTTCAAAGATTAAATTTATTAATTTCTGAAGTGACGTCACATGACCCATGATGACGTCATGATGACGTAATTGCACAAAAACACATTTTCAGTGGGTTGTGCATTCATGTATTGACAATTGAAGTTCATATATGTTTTCATTTTGACAAACAGTTCTGGAAACGAATTTGCTGAGGAGAACTTAAACAAAACAAAAATAGTAAATACTTACAATAACAATAGGATTTGGGCTCAAGGCCCAACACCTAAATAGTAAATTCTTACAATAACAATAGGTTTTGGGCTCAATGCCCAACACCTATCAATCAATGGGGTTTTATTTTAACACTGAACAGTTGATAGTGAAACAATGGCCAGGGTCATGGCGCTCAATAATCTACCAATCTGTTCCCAACAATTCTTTTTATGTTAATTTTCAGTTGAGCTTAATGCTCATGTAAAGCTCGTATTTGTAGAACCACACATACTCACAAAAGAGATTTTTTCACATGGATTTATATATTCACATTTGTTAATTACAAACAGGACAAATTAGTTCAAGGGCGGATCCAATTTGCGAAGGTGGGGTGTCATCAGCAAACCATATCTGAAATGTAGACAGGTGGTTTTTATTTGTCCGGACGTATACACGTGGCCTCGTAAAATCAATAGGTGGGGTTGGGGAAGGGTCCTACCATATTTTCGATGGGGGTGCATATTAGGCGTAGCCGGGAGGGTATTTCCCCCCAAATATTTTGTAAAGACTGCCTTTTTCTATCCAAATGCCCTTTTTTTTTAAACCGGGATTACCCCCCCCCCCAAATAGTTTTGAAAGAGTGCCTGTTTTTAAGAAGTGCCCTTTGTTTTGGAACAAGTGCCCTTTTTGAAAAAGAAAGTGGTGCCCTTTTGTTTTTACATCTGCCGTTTTGGGTATTTTTTTACTGAATTCCGCACACTACGCCCTGAAAAGCTAGACACATGGTACCAGCCCCACCCCCACCCCCCTTTTTGATTTTTTACAGAGGCGAAGTGTCCGGAGAAAAAAACATGTGTACATTTCAACGAGGATGTGCAAGTGTCCTTTTCCAAAATTTTACCCACCCCCCAATAAAAATGACCGTGCTACGCCGCGCCATGAGGTGCTTTCCAAATCTGACGTTTTTAACACTATCCTCTAACCACGCTGAATGTGTGCGTATTCTGTGCTCAGACAGACATAATTACCAGTATCATTGTTTTGGGTGTCAGAGCAGGGGAGGGGCGGGGTGCATGTGTTAACAAAATTCTATGAACAAAACTTTTGGACTAAGCGAGGGGGGGGGGGGGGGGGTGCTTACCCCCAGATCCGCGCCTGCAATAAAATCGAACAACACAGGCATCTTTCCTCGCATGGATAACTACTTTGTGGTAAACACCATGAAAATCCCCCGGACAATTTAAGTGGCCTTGTTTCAGTTCACTTACCTGATATCTCAAGTATATATTCAACAGAAACTTTAGTGGAGTGTTGTGCTTGTTTACTTTTTTTCAGTTACGATGACACAAACAAGGAAGCGGCGATAATGACAAGGTAGGCACAATTCATTCTGAAGTTCGTTATCAACTTTAACAACCTCTTATATCCTCACCAAAGTTTCAAGTGCAGTTAGAAACTGAGAAACTTGAAGAGCACTGTTTATTCATCATCCTGCTTATTTCTTTGTTTTATATTACTGATAATACAATAAACCTGTTATGACATGGTAATTTGTAAAGTCCCAACGACCTAGGTTAAAGGTGTTCGTAGAGTAAGCTATACAGAGTGGCCGCCCAACGTCCCTCGCCCCAGGCCAGTCACGAGACTAAATACCAATACATGGGGATTTCTGTTAAAGCGTTTATCCCCCCCCCCCCCGGCTGTAAGCCAGAGGGGGATATTGCGACAGCGTATTCTTTCAGTTTGTAAGTACACAGTACAATTAACGGCTGAAGATGAACACATTGACGCCAGACACATTCCCGATGCCACAACACTATTGCTTGATGGGGATTTCGAACGACGTTTTTCGCAAAGTACATTTCGTGATAATGTATTTTTAAGTCTGCTTTTGTGGTGTTATTTCATTGTTAATCTTTTATTTTGCTACCTGTTAGCTTGCCAAGAATCCATGTGCTTCCAGCATGTCCAAGCTTACATCTTGAAAAGGTAAGTGACAGTAAACTTTAATCCATTTGAAGATAACATTCAAAATGGCTTTCTCAAAACAGTTGTTCCATTTATGTAATTGTATTAAGTCTTCTTAGAAATGGCTTTTGAAGTGCATCCGACAACTTCGACAAGACTCACGACAGTCTAATTTTCCAAACGGAAATAAGAGAAATTTCCAGCCAAACTTTCCCCAATTCCCAACGAAAAAAAAATGTTGGCTGTCTCACATTATTAGATTTGCTAAATTATAAATGAGCCGGGTCTATATTTTAAAAAGTTCTAATTAACAGTTGCCATTTGCAATGTCAAACTGAAATCCCAATTTTTTTTAGAGTCCATGTGAGCGTCTTCATACAAAATAAGAATGTGTACACGTGCATCGTGTATGTATGTACTAGTAGATGTAGACGTACGTGTACCATCCGTGGCGTGTACCCACAACCACTGAGATCCCTGAAAAAAAATCCACATACAGGGTGTCCCCGCGAGCGCGAGTGGAACATGTAGCAGAATTATGTAGTGCGTCTGCATAGATGCCGTGCTACACATGGAATAATGAAGTGCGTCTGTGTCCCACATACCACGAGGCCAAATTTAAGGCCGAGTGGCTGTCTCCCTAGACTTGACTCAAGTCGGAATTGCTTTAAGTCGGTATCTTAAAAAAAAAGTAGCGAAAATCACTTAGTTTACGCCTTTCCAGATGCCCGACAAGGTACACTTCAGCGTGCGTTCCACTTCAGTGCCGTATAACAATGCGCACACAATAATTTGTGCAGCACGCGTATTACACGTATTTGCATGTATTGCAGAGCATGTGCATACATGCGGTGCAAAAGTTAGCAATTGCAGGGCTATCAGCTTGTTCCCATACGAACTTGTTCCCGCTACCGCCCTCCGCGCGCGCCGCGACACAAATCACTAGTTGCACTATACCGTTAGCCTCAACGACCCTTGCGTGTGCTTTGTGTGCATGTACGTACGCCCCACACACTTCCGCAAACAGCCGTACGTACAGCAAGTCGAGGCGGAAGATAGCCTTGACGCAACCGTGGTGAATTCTTATGTGTTTCTTTATAGTTTCGACCGAAATCGGCCGAAAATTTCTGATGCGCATTTATAACACGATATCCAATCAAAGCCCGTAAACTTTGAACCGCGATATACATATTAATGACCCGCAAATTACTGTATACACAACGTACATGTATGTTCACTCTAAGTCAAACCATGGTGTCCAGGTATTTCAATCCCATTTTAAACCATTATTCCAGTTTTATTACAAACAAATGAAATATGCCGCTATATGAGTGAACGATTGTTCAAAATGATTTTATTTCAAATGTATTGCGAATTGGACAGTTCAAGACCGTGAGTCCGCCGACGTTTTGTCGGTGTGCAACAGCGTACATTATCACGCCGCTACCTGCCCGTGCTATTCTGACAGCGAATGTAGGGAACAGGTCAACTCGGACCCAGGTCAAATCGTACCCATTTAATCGAATGCAGGATAACTCGTATCTATAAGCACCCGTATGAAATAAGTGCAAGAAACGAGCTATTGACTTTGGGATGAAATATACGAAACTGTCAGGTACATGGTTAAAAAAAAACTCTCCCTGAATTCGTACCATGTGCAACATACATCTCATACGTACGACACATGTATTTTAACGCGTACGTATGAATCGTATGTCGTACCTACGACATACGTACGACATGTAAGTCGTAGATGTAAATCGCACGAGATACAAGTCGTTCTCACAAGATATGTTGTATGTACGACATAATCGACAAACAAGTCGAACATACGAGTTACAATTCATATTTTGTACACACGAGATTTAGTCGCAGTTATATATATGACTTTGTCGTATGCGGCATATATCGTACCCTGTCGACTCGACTTATGCACGACATATATGTCGTACCGGCACCAGTCGACATTATGTCATATGTTTGATATGTCATACCCTCAGGCTGTCGACATATATGTCGTACCCTGTCGACATATATGTCGTACCCTGTCGATGATATTAGTCGTACCCTGTCGAAATATGTCGTACCCTGTCGATATATTAGTCATACATACGACATATAACTTATAAGTTGTTCATACAAGTTAAAATCAGTCTTACAGAATAAGTTTGCTGAAGGAGAGATATTTTTTTCCCATATCCCCTTGACAGCTTAGAAGAAATACCCCCCCCCCCCCCAAAAAAAGTCAGCGGTAGATATATACTCAATAGTGTGAGCGTTTTTTTGGCCGCTGAACGTGAAAGCGCAGCGTGTCTCACTGCATGGCGCCAGCCGGGCCGGTGCCTACAGTGGACGGCCCCAACGTGGCCTCTGTGCATGGTGACATCGTTTTTGCCGGTGTGCGGTTTTGTACCGTTTGCCGTTTTTTTGAAGGTCTAATTTTTCATCCTTTTCATTTCATTTTCGACCCAAACTATGTGTAACTTTATAAATATTATTCTACTATTATTTAAGATTTTAAGGGGGTGTTTACAATAATTATTGTAACCACAGGCCGTCTGGTTTATAAACCTTTGGTCGTATTATGCAATTTAATAAATATTCATATTTTTGTCAGCCGTTATCCAATGAGAGAAGACTATTTACCATAGCGCGTACTAATTATCATATTCATCATACACGGTTGCGTCAAGGCTATCGTCTGCGGCCTCGACTTACTGTACGGCTGTTTGCGGAAGTGAGTGTGGGGCGTACGTACATAAAGCACACGCAAGGGTCGTTGGGGCTAACGGTATAGTACAACATTGTGATGCTTCGCGCGCGGTGTGCGGTAGCGGGAACAAGCTCATATGGGAACAAGCTGATAGCCTTGGTCAAGGCTAGTCATGAAGTAAATAGAAACGACTTTTGTACCATCTTTAAACCAATATCGGCCTTATGTGCAGTTTTCAGTAGCTTTCATGACATCTGTACATTACTGTAATACCAACATTTGCCTCGCCGGAAAAAATTACATAAGCGTAGCTAGCTTAGTAACTACGGGCCATGAAGAGAAATAATGTACACGTACATGTACAGGTCAATGTGCACATGCTGGGTGTACCTATGTGTGTAAATAATATGCAAATTAGGATTTTTTCCTGGACATGCTATCTTCAAACAAATTAAGATTGTTGCTTACATCATAAACTAGTATGTGAAAAAACACGAAATTTGAAGCATATTTATTTTCGTACTCTAAGGTCAAGGTAATTTTGCTACGCATTGTCTCTGCGCTTTATGCTACGATATTGGTTTTATTTTATGAAATGGAGGTCATTCAAAGAGCTTTAATGTACATCATGTACAACTTGGTTTTGCAGGTGCTATAGTTTTAGAGATACAAGTATTTAAAATTCATGCTAATTAGTCAAAAGTTCGTTGACCCGTATCTCAAAAACTAAAGAGCAAAACAAATCAGTTCTTGGGGCTTCTCACGTAGGCCATTGGTGCCATAGAGATACCGTTGGTGCCACAGCGATACCCCTTGATTCCACGAAATACCCCTAGGTGTCATATATCCCTTGATGCCACAGAGATGCCAATTGATGCCACAGAGATACCCCTTAATTGGTGTCACAGAGATTCCCCTTGATACCACTGTACATGTGTTTGTTACTCTGTTAATTTACTTGGGCTCGTGAGAAATTTCACAAGAAGATTTCACTGCATCCTACTTTTGCCAAGAACAAACTTACCAAAGAAAGTTTAGTAATAAATTATATCCAATTTCAGGGCAAGCTGAAAAACATGTATATGCTGGAAGTACATTTTCATAATTTTACCTTTTACACAGCATTGCAGATGATATGCGTATTACTTCAATAACATGTAAGCTGTGGGCAGTTTTTTTTATTTAAAGTTTCACAGTCACAACCCTTAAATTCAAACTTTGAAAACTATTCTTGTTGAAAGATGGCACATTTTCATTATAAAAGACACTTTGAACAGACAAATGTGCTTTTTGTGGCAAACGTTGTCACAATGGGGCTTCGTTGTGTTTAAAGACTGCACCATCCCCTTTGTAATAACCCAAACTTAAAGAGGTTGTGGAATGCTCGAAGACATTTCCGTCATTTTTCGGGTATATGTAGCCTAAGGTGTGATGAAATAAAAACCACTATTGTTTCTGTCATGAAATGAGTACAAAGGGTACTTTTGAGAGCTGTTTTTCAGGTCCAGTTTCGACCCGAACGTGCAACTGTGTAAAAGTCGTCGTTGCGGGCAGCAAACAAAACACAGTAAATCGTGACGTAATAAACAGGACTCCCGATGCACAGTAGCATACACGAGAATTTGATAGTTAATTGTAGTAAAATCACAATTTTATCACAGTACCACTGCAGTTTTACTGTAGTAATTGAGAAATTTTCGGCCGAAACACCATGATTTTACTGCAGTAATTACTATAGTTAAATCAAGGTAAAAATGAAGTAGACCTAGGTGAAACTGTGGTTGAATTATATTCATATGATAGTCTTACTGCAGTGTAACTACAATTTAACTGCAGTGTTAACTTCAGTACATCTATGGTGGATTTTTACGAGTGAAACATATCATTTAATTGAATTAAAATACAATGTACGCATGTATGTGATATGAAATTACTCTAATAGTTCAGATTTCCAGCGTTAATCGAAACACCTTTCCGGCTTGCTAAGTTATGACCGTCGAGGCTTGAGATTCTGGAAGCTAAGTTCAGTGGACCACTTGGCCGGGTGATTCTGGAACAAGATGTTAAGAAATATATGAAGTATAGAAACAAGAAATAAATAATCACTCCTTACAACTTGGATGTTTTGTGCATAGGCTTTACAAATTCAACATGTAACTCAGATGAGCCTTACGAGGTTTGCATGGTGGACATGATCAATGAATTAGAAGGTTGCGGTAACACCATGTGAATGATATCTCTTGTGAGTTGTGTGGTTCTGAATTGAACCAGTTGGTTTAACTTGACGTTTCAAACAGTATGCGTTTTCGTCATTATGAGACTACTAGCTGTAATGTAGTGAGCTTGTCACTAGCACATGGATAATAGTTGTTGCTTCGATGCTTGCTTGGCTTATTGTGCTACATTGTTCTAGGGTGCAATCTGATCCAAGTTGGGGCCTTATTCATTATTCATTTAGTAAGTTGGGGTTCATGCATTCCAATGTGGATGAGGTAATGTCTGGGTTTGGGTGTGTGGGTTCAGAGCACGTGGTGCCTATGCATAGCTATCGTGCATGGATACTACACTGACCTTTAGTCAGCACCAGCAGCAGCAGCAGCATCAGTAGCATCACCACCACCAGCATCAGCGCATCGTCATCATCAGCTACAAGAACACACAGATATACTTTTATTATTCTGAGTGGTACATACATCCTCTCAGGAATAGTACACTCAGTAAGGGGAGAATATTTTTGCGGAAACAAGACCAAGGCTAGTCACAGATATAATTTGCATAATTATTGCTAGCTGTCTGTCCCGATAGGTAGGACAATAGAGGGACCAGGAACCAGTCTATTCTCGTGATCGAGCTTGTGGCATAGCGTCACCTGCCGTTTCAATTAATAATATCTATTCTTTCTTATTTGTCTCACGAGGGCGCTGTATAAAAAAAGTCAACAGGCTTTTTGGTTCGAGTGTGAAATTTTCATTCAGTTGATCATTGAATGTGTGTGTGTGTGTGTGTGGGTAGGCATTACATTCATTGTGTGGACTTCCGAACAAAAGAGGTCCACATAAACCAGGTAGAGGAGACGTTGTGTGGACTTGGGCAAGTCCACACAGTGTTTCCCCATTTCTGGAAAACAGGTTTAGAGGCATTCTTGGGTTAGGTTTATCCGTGGCAGAATGAAGAGAAACACTAAAGGGAATCAAAGAAAAAAATATTGGGTTGAAAGAGTTTTCACAGTTTGAGAAAAATGAGTTTTTTCACTGTTTTTGTTTTAACTACACGAAAGCAATGGAATGTCCACACTTGGTATGTAACGTAAACATGCGTGTTTTCGATTTCGAAAGTGAAGTTTCAAAATGCTCTTATTTTAACCAGAATTAATTTCCTTGGCTGAAATTCGGACTTAATATCCCTTTTCTAAAACTCTTCCATTTGCGACAAATCAACCCACCTTGGAAATTCCTAGTTTTTGAGTAAGATCCATATATCTATTTCGTAATCGAAAACCTTGTGGAGACCTATTCATCAATAGAAATTGCCCTGTGGAGACCTTAACAATGTTTTGTTTCCTTTTGTGTGCATGTTTCCACAAGGATACAAATTTGAGCTCACACAATTTACTACACGAGAACAACGAAATGTCTCCACAAGAATACAAATTCGAGTACATGTGCGTGCGTGCGTGCGTGTACAAACACTGCCTTGTGGGGTACCGGAACAATGGGAGGTACCCCACAAGGAATGCCCACCGACTTGCGATAATAGTTGTTGCTTCGATGCTTGCTTGGTTTATTGTGTCTCAGTACATCTCAGTACATCACATGAGGTTCTATGTTTATCAAGGGCTACACTGTTCTAGGGTGCAATCTGATCTAAGTTGGGGCCTTTTTCATTATTCATTTAGTAAGTTGGGTTCATGCATTCCAATGTGGATGAGGTAATGTCTGGGTCTTGGTGTATGGGTTCAGAGCACGTGGTGCCTATGCATAGCTATCGTGCATGGATACTACACTGACCTTTAGTCAGCACCAGCAGCAGCAGCAGCATCAGTAGCATCACCACCACCAGCATCAGCGCATCGTCATCATCAGCTACAAGAACACACAGATATACTTTTATTATACTGAGTGGTACATACATCCTGTCAGGAATAGTACACCCAGTAAGGGGAGAATATTTTGGCGGAAACAAGACCAAGGCTAGTCACAGATATAATTTGCATAATTATTGCTAGCTGCCTGTCCCGATAGGTAGGACAATAGAGGGACCAGGAACCAGTCTATTCTCGTGATCGAGCTTGTGGCATAGCGTCACCTGCCGTTTCAATTAATAATATCTATTCTTTCTTATTTGTCTCACGAGGGCGCTGTATAAAAAAGTCAACAGGCTTTTTGGTTCGAGTGTGAAATTTTCATTCAGTTGATCATTGAATGTGTGTGTGTGTGGGTAGGCATTACATTCATTGTGTGGACTTCCGAACAAAAGAGGTCCACATAAACCAGGTAGAGGAGACGTTGTGTGGACTTTGGCAAGTCCACACAGTGTTTCCCCATTTCTGGAAAACGGGTTTAGAGGCAATTTGGGGTAAGGTTTATGTGTGGTAGAATAAAAAGAAACACTAAAGGGAATCATAGAAAAAATATTGGGTTGAAAGACTTTTTTTCACAGTTTGAGAAAAGAGAGTTTTTTTCACTGTTTTTGTTGTTAACTTCACGACAGCAATGGAATGTCCACACTTGGTATGTAGCATAAACATGCTTTTTTTCGATTTTGAAAGTGAAGTTTCAAAATGCTCTTATTTTAACCAGAATTAATTTCCATGGGTGAAATTCGGACTTAATATCCCTTTTCAAAAACTCTTCCATTGCGACAAATCAACCCACCTTGGAAATTCCTAGTTTTTTTTTAGTAAGATCCATATATCTATTTCGTGATCAAAAACCTTGTGAAGACCTATTTTCATCTATAGAAATTGCCCTGTGGAGACCTTTACAATGTTTTGTTCCTTATTGTGTGCGTGTTTTCACAAGGATACAAATGTGAGATCATACACTTTACTATACGAGAACAAAGAAATGTCTCCACAAGAATACAAATTCAAGTACATGTGCGTGCGTGTACAAATACTGCCTTGTTGGGTACCGGAACAATGGGAGGTACCCCACAAGGAATGCCCACCGACTTGCGATAATAGTTGTTGCTTCGATGCTTGCTTGGTCTATTGTGTCTAAGTACATCTCAATACATCACATGAGGTTCTATGCTTATCAAGGGCCACACTGTTCTAGGGTGCAATCTGATCTAAGTTGGGGCCTTTTTCATTATTCATTTAGTAAGTTGGGGTTTATGCATTCCAATGTGGATGAGGTAATGTCTGGGTTTTGGTGTGTAAGTTCAGAACACCTGGTGCCTATGTATATTATGCAGGGATACTACACTGACCTTTAGTCAGCACCAGCAGCAGCATCATCAGTAGCATCACCACCACCAGCATCAGCGCATCGTCATCATCAGCTACAAGAACACACAGATATACTTTTATTATACTGAGTGGTACATACATCCTGTCAGGAATAGTACACCCAGTAAGGGGAGAATATTTTGGCGGAAACAAGACCAAGGCTAGTCACAGATATAATTTGCATAATTATTGCTAGCTGCCTGTCCCGATAGGTAGGACAATAGAGGGACCAGGAACCAGTCTATTCTCGTGATCGAGCTTGTGGCATAGCGTCACCTGCCGTTTCAATTAATAATATCTATTCTTTCTTATTTGTCTCAAGAGGGCGCTGTATAAAAAAGTCAACAGGCTTTTTGGTTCGAGTGTGAAATTTTCACTCAGTTGATCATTGAATGTGTGTGTGTGTGGGGGTAGACATTACATTAATTGTGTGGACTTCCGAACAAAAAAGGTCCACATAAACCAGGTAGAGGAGACGTTGTGTGGACTTTGGCAAGTCCACACAGTGTTATCCCATTTCTGGAAAACAGGTTTAGAGGCATTTTGGGGTAAGGTTTATCCGTGGCAGAATGAAGTAAAACACTAAAGGGAATCATAGAAAACAAATGTGGGGTTGAAAGAGTTTTCACAGTTTGAGAAAAATGAGGTTTTTTTTCACTGTTTTTTGTTAACTACACGAAAGCAATGGAATGTCCACACTTTTAGGTAACGTAAACATGCGTGTTTTCGATTTTGAAAGTGAAGTTTCAAAATGCTCTTGTTTTAACCAGAATTAATTTCCATGGCTGAAATTCGGACTTAATATTCCTTTTCTAAAACTCTTCCATTTGCGACAAATCAACCCACCTTGGAAATTCGTAGTTTTTGAGTAAAATCCATATATCTATTTCGTGATCGAAAACTTTGTGGAGACCTATTCATCTATAGAAATTGCCTCATGGATTAATTTCATAGGAAGTAATAATTTAACTATACATACGTGCATTCTGTGGTGCATTCTGTGGAACATTCTGTGGAACAGGATCCACTGGAACTGCCATCTGGAAAAATTGAAAGTAAATACTTGAAACATGACACAAAATACAAATCGGAATTACTCATTTTCAATCTGTGATAATGCCGAGTTACATATTAAGAGCAAGCTCACTGTCAAACTGTACAGCCAACTATTAAACGTCAATTAAATTCCACCTCAATGTTTTCCTCTCTTTGGTGTATTCTATGAACAGTTTTACTGTCCTTAAAGGAATGTATCAAATGTGTCTATGTTTTTAAAATTTCGATATATATATGTTCAGTATGTCTCAAAAAGTGTCCCTCTGACTGTTTTTAAAATAACTACAAAAACACGATGTCAATTGTGAAAGTTTTGGTTGTGCAGATACTCCTAGGCCTTGGCCTCAACCCTCATGGGTTTCATTTAATTCTAGTCGTGTATCACTTTACAATTGTTAATTGATCACAACATATTTGGACACTGTAACCAAGTTCTATGCCTTAATCAATTTCAGTATTGTGTTATGTAAGCTGTGAAAAACCCTGCATACTATGACAAAAGGTTGATGTGGTTTGGGATTGAAATCATTTGCCCTTTACATTAAACTGAGGTCTTGCCATGAGGACTGATAGCCAGGAAAATAATTCCAATCCCAACTGCAGCCCTTTTTACAACAAGAAGGTGATCTAATATATGTTACCGGTACAGTCCATGTCGGCCGCATTGGGGCCAGGATTGAAGTAGTGGTCCCAACTATGGTTTGAACTGCACTAGGTGATCATATTCTGATAGATTGGGCAAAATTAGACTGTACTTGAGAGGGATCTAACATGTTACCGGTACAGTCCATGTCAGCTGCAGTTGGGCCAGGATGGAAGGAGTGGTCCCAACTATGGTTTGAACTGCACTAGGTGATCATGTTCTGATAGTTTGGGCAAAATTAGACTGTACTTGAGAGGGATCTAACATGTTACCGGTACAGTCCATGTCAGCTGCAGTTGGGCCAGGATGGAAGGAGTGGTGCCAACTATGGTTTGAACTGCACTAGATGATCATATTCTGATAGTTTGGGCAAAATTAGACTGTACTTGAGAGGGATCTATCATGTTACCGGTACAGTCCATATGTCAGCTGAAGTTTGGCCAGGATGGAAGGAGTGGTCCTAACTATGGTTTGAACTGCACTAGGTGATCATATTCTGATAGTTTGGGCAAAATTAGACTGTACTTGAGAGGGATCTATCATGTTACCGGTACTGTCCATGTAAGCTGCAGTTGGGCCAGGATGGAAGGAGTGGTCCCAACTATGGTTTGAACTGCACTAAGTGATTATACCTCATTCTAATAATTTGGGCCAAATTAAGATGTACTGGAGAGTGATCTACCATGTTACCCTATCTCTCTGCTGCATTTGGGCTTGGATTGAAGTAGTGGTTCCAACTATGGTTTGAACTGCATTAGGTGATCATATTCGTGTAACTTTGGCAAATTTAAACTGTACTGGAGAGTGATCTACCATGTTACCCTATCTCTCTGCTGCATTTGGGCTAGAATTGAAGTAGTGGTCCCAACTATGGTTTGAACTGCATAAGGTGATCATATTCGTGTAACTTTGGCAAAATTAAACTGTACTGGAGAGTGATCTACCATGTTACCTTATCTCTCTGCCGCATTTGGGCCAGGATTGAAGGAGTGGTCCCAACTATGGTTTGAAATGCACTTGGTGATCATAACTCATTGTTATAATTTGGGCAAAATTAAACTGTACTGGAGAGTGATCATATTCTTATAGTTTTTGCAAAATTAGACTGTACTTGAGAGGGATCTAACATGTTACCGGTACAGTCCATGTCAGCTGCAGTTGGGCCAGGATTGAAGGAGTGGTCCTAACCAGGGTTTGAACTGCACTAAGTGATTATAACTCATTTTTATAACTTTGGCCAAATTAAACTGTACTGGAGAGTGATCTGCCATGTTACCTTAACTCTCTGCTGCATTTGGGCCAGGATGGAAGGAGTGGTCCCAACTATGGTTTGAACTGCACTAGGTGATCATATTCTGATAGTTTGGGCAAAATTAGACTGTACTTGAGAGGGATCTAACATGTTACCGGTACAGTCCATGTCAGCTGCAGTTGGGCCAGGATGGAAGGAGTGGTCCCAACTATGGTTTGAACTGCACTAGGTGATCATATTCTGATAGTTTGGGCAAAATTAGACTGTACTTGAGAGGGATCTAACATGTTACCGGTACAGTCCATGTCAGCTGCAGTTGGGCCAGGATTGAAGGAGTGGTCCTAACTATGGTTTGAACTGCACTAGGTGATCATGTTCTGATAGTTTGGGCAAAATTAGACTGTACTTGAGAGGGATCTAACATGTTACCGGTACAGTCCATTTCAGCTGCAGTTGGGCCAGGATGGAAGGAGTGGTCCCAACTATGGTTTGAACTGCACTAGGTGATCATATTCTTATAGTTTGGGCAAAATTAGACTGTACTTGAGAGGGATCTAACATGTTACCGGTACTGTCCATGTAAGCTGCAGTTGGGCCAGGATGGAAGGAGTGGTCCCAACTATGGTTTGAACTGCACTAGGTGATCATATTCTGATAGTTTGGGCAAAATTAGACTGTACTTGAGAGGGATCTATCATGTTACCGGTACAGTCCATATGTCAGCTGCAGTTTGGCCAAGATGGAAGGAGTGGTCCCAACTATGGTTTGAACTGCACTAAGTGATTATAACTCATTCTAATAATTTGGGCCAAATTAAGCTGTACTGGAGAGTGATCTACCATGTTACTCTACCTCTCTGCTGCATTTGGGCTAGGATTGAAGTAGTGGTCCCAACTATGGTTTGAACTGCATAAGGTGATCATATTCGTGTAACTTTGGCAAAATTAAACTGTACTGGAGAGTGATCTACCATGTTACCTTATCTCTCTGCCGCATTTGGGCCAGGATTGAAGTAGTGGTCTCAACTTTGGTTTGAACTGCACTTGGTGATCATAACTCATAGTTATAATTTGGGCACAATTAAACTGTACTGGAGAGTGATCATATTCTTATAGTTTTTGCAGAATTAGACTGTACTTGAGAGGGATCTAACATGTTACCCGTACAATCCATGACGGCTGCAGTTGGGCCAGGATGGAAGGAGTGGTCCCAACTATGGTTTGAACTGCACTAGGTGATCATATTCTTATAGTTTGGGCAAAATTAGACTGTACTTGAGAGGGATCTAACACGTTACCGGTACTGTCCATGTAAGCTGCAGTTGGGCCAGGATGGAAGGAGTGGTCCTAACTATGGTTTGAACTGCACTAGGTGATCATATTCTGATAGTTTGGGCAAAATTAGACTGTACTTGAGAGGGATCTATCATGTTACCGGTACAGTCCATATGTCAGCTGCAGTTTGGCCAAGATGGAAGGAGTGGTCCCAACTATGGTTTGAACTGCACTAAGTGATTATAACTCATTCTAATAATTTGGGCCAAATTTAGCTGTACTGGAGAGTGATCTACCATGTTACTCTACCTCTCTGCTGCATTTGGGCTAGGATTGAAGTAGTGGTCCCAACTATGGTTTGAACTGCATTAGGTGATCATATTCGTGTAACTTTGGCAAAATTAAACTTTACTGGAGAGTGATCTACCATGTTACCTTATCTCTCTGCCGCATTTGGGCCAGGATTGAAGTAGTGGTCTCAACTTTGGTTTGAACTGCACTTGGTGATCATAACTCATAGTTATAATTTGGGCACAATTAAACTGTACTGGAGAGTGATCATATTCTTATAGTTTTTGCAAAATTAGACTGTACTTGAGAGGGATCTAACATGTTACCGGTACAATACATGTCGGCTGCAGTTGGGCCAGGATGGAAGAAGTGGTCCCAACTATGGTTTGAACTGCACTAGGTGATCATAACTCATTCCTATAACTTTGGCAAAATTAAACTGTATTGGAGAGTACGTGATCTAACATGTTACCTGAACTCTCTGCCGCACTTGGGCCAGGATGGAAGGAGTGGTCCCAACTATGGTTTGCACTGCACTATGTGATCATATTCTGATAGTCTGGGCAAAATTAGACTGTACTTGAGAGGGATCTAACATGTTACCGGTACAGTCCATGTTGGCCGCATTTGGGCCAGGATGGAAGGAGTTGTCCCAATCATGGTTTGACCTGCACTATGTGATCATGACTCATTCTCATTCTTGAGGGTCAACGCCTTGGTTGGCCTTAGCCTTGGATGATGTGAGTTTTTTTCTCACTGGTCTTTTCCCAACTATGGTTTGAATTGCACTAGGTGATCATAGCTAGCTCATTTTTATAACTTGGGCAAAAATAATGACGCTATTTTGAAAACAGAATAATATGCAATTATACGTAGAATGGTTGGCATAGGCTTTAACAGGAACATGAACATCAGGTTCAACCTGATGTTGGTCCAGCTGGGTCAGTAAATAGGATCGATTTTTTTCCAAATGCCTAAGGAAGGATGAGTTGTTATCACTCTTATATACTTACAATAACTGTTGAAATAAATCTGCGAAGAAAAACTCAGTGACTTTGCAGACAATGAAATTTTACGGAATATGCTCCCGAACACAGTGACCCGGATGTATAGCCCATTGGCGGTGTTACCACTCGCATTATAATGGAATTCTAAATTATTGAATATATTTTAAATAATACAAATAAATTGGTAACAATAACATTTTGTTTTATTTCAAATTTCATAGGGATAAAAACTGTTTTAGATAATTACTTTATGATTTACTTTTTATTGTAAATGTACGCGGAAGAGGTTATGCTGGTCCACGTAGCATATTCGAATTGGTGTACAGCGCTAATACACGGGAATGACTGTACATGCAGTAGGCTATATCTGATCATAAGGCCACCCCAAAAAAGTCTCTGGTTTCTGGTATGGAGCTTGCCCCAAAAGTGGTGCGGCGACGCGGCTTTTTTTCGACTTGTTTTCCCTTCAAATGTCGGCTGATGACTGCAAATGGCGCCCGACTAAATTTAGTGCAAA